CTGCTAGACCTTCACCTCCCAATGTGTTTACCCTCTACTAATGTACTTTTACCCAAGGAAAAARATCTATTAAGAAGAGCTCACACGTTACCTATGATATCAAAACACACACTCAAAGTCAGCCACTTTAACCAACTGATACTGTGATTCATGWAAAAACCAAAAAGCTTCAGTATTTTAACAGGTATCAAATCCTGGAATAAATGCTGTTGTAATTTTAGGGTTCTATTTTAACAGCTAAAGGAGAGACATCTGGCAATAATCTACAAATAAATACAGTGTCTCCATTCTTAGTTTCTCCTCCAAAACACTACCTAGGAAATTTTTGCAGCATGATTCATATAATCAACATGATACATTACAATGCCTTTCAAATAATTCTGAATTCTTAGTTCATTCAATAAAGAACTCGTTTTTGAAAGAGAAAAGGGAACATGCCCTGCCAGAAAACTTGCTTTATTGACTCAGCCCTGCTGCCAGCAGGAACAACGTGGTGAAGCAAACTCCATGATTTCAAAAGCATTTTTTCTACAGCAAGGGCAGAAAAAGAAAGAGGCTTATTTACCGAAATGTGAGATTCCACAGGTGAGGCCAGAGACGATCTGAAATCCTCTTCTTTTAGTTCCAAAAGTTTTAATTTATGACGAGTTCTGTAATAATCCTTTCAAACTGCCAGGTACGACGCACGCCATATCTCAGCCGTGTTTTCTTTCGCCCTTTTGCAGAGTAACTTTGTTATTTGCATAAAGCTTAGTCCTGGCCTATGGGACTTTTTGAACATCTACATGTTAGATTAGCTGTCTTGACAYGCTCTGTCAAGCATGACATCATGGATCTCCATGGTAACCTTAGCCACACCTGCCCAGATGCCAGAGTTACCTGTCATGTTCAGACCTAAACGAACACAACAAAAAACTCTCAACCACCATTTYCTAGGCAATCAGCCCTGCAAAGGCACCGGAAGGATTTGGGTTTTGTTTTTAATTGATTGAAATCTAATTTCGTTTGCCAAGAAAATGTTTTCTTCACGGAGCACTGCCTGAAGCGATAGAGCTGTTCCTGACCCTTCCACACCTCCCAGCCTATTTCCTAATCAAACAACAACTGAAGAAAGCTGTGGCAAACTTCTTCCAGCTCACTCTTTTACCCCASGCTCACAAGCTCCTGCTCTGAAAAACTTCTACACATTCATTTTTGTTCTCTGCCCCTCARAAAGGTTTTTTCAGAGGTGACTTGTAAAACAGGTTCACAGCAGGGATTACCTCCTCCCATGGCCAGGTTAGCATTTTAACCTCTTAATTGCTAACTCCTTTTCATCCTTGCAGCTACAGACCCGGCTTTTACACTTGCTCCCGCTTTTTCCCTCTCTGCCGACCAGAGTCAACCTCACCTCAGTGGGTGACCATGTCCTGCCATGAGCTCCACAGCAGATGATTCACACTGCCTGAAACTCAAAACATCCCAGACTGTTTCCTTCTTGCTTTCTCTTTTTTCTTTCTAACTTTCCTGGGGATTACATTAGCACYTTCCTTTCATTACCACAAAAGAGACAGCCGTGGCAGAGATAAGGTATTCAAAGCTCCTGCAGAAACTTGCATTACCTAAAAAAAAAAAAAAAAAAATTTGTTCCTCAGCTTTGCAGGCTTCCAGGCGGAGGGAGCTCTGGTGCCCAGCTGTGGACTTATCCTGGAAGGGGGAAGAGCTGCAATGTGAGGGTGAGCTGTGGGCTGGAGTCACGGAGCTGTGGCCATTCCCAGWGCTGCATTCCCTGTGCTGGGGTGCACAAGGCATGGATGTCTGCACCCCCCAGGCTGCTGCAAAGTCATGCTCCAGCTTAACCACAGAGCAGCTCAGCTCCAGGCTATTTGCCTGCCTTGCAGCAAGATCCCAAGCCCCTTGTGCAAATAAAGATGGCCCCTGCCTCTGTGAGCTTTCCTTTCCAGAGCAGGATATCACAAACACGGCAACAAACCTTCAGAGGAGAAATGATCTGTGTGCACAGCTGGGAGGTTTCAGTCRCCACGTTAGCTAACCATCAGTAATCCCTGCTGGCATTTTACCTGGCCATGATTGTGCTTCTGATTTGTGGCAGATTATCAAGAGTAGGAATGGGTCCTCAGGAGGCACATCCAGGGAGGGATTTATCTGAATAAATGAAGCCTGAAGGAAGCCATTAGTGCATAGTGGAAGATGCAGACAACATTCAGAGCTGCCCTTGCTGGTGGAAATGATACAGCATCAAATATTTTTCCCTGTTTATTTCCTGCAAACAAGGAGTCAGTTTGCCATACTCAGATACTGATAGCTAAAATGGTCAAGAGAAGAAAGTCCACATAGAAAAAAATGGACAATTATCAGTCCTAATTTTCTGTTGGCTGTGGACCTGACAGGGTCTAGAGCGACCTGGAAGAGAAATTACATGATATACCAGGGCCTACTTCCTGACTGTCAATACTGGGGTGTTTTCTCTTTCAGCTGCACCATTTGACAGAGAGATTAGAAAATGGTGTTGCATTAGCTACTATCCTTGATAGGTGTCCTAAAGTGGGGAAATTCCCACCATGGACAGTGTTGCCACTTTCCAGGTATTGGAGYAACTGGAGAAGTAAGAAGGGAGAAGAGGAACCGGGAAAATAAGTTGTAACATTTAAAGTCACATCTTCCCATACATCCTACAGGTTTTTTTTTGTGATACATGTATATGTTACATACAAATACCTGCTATATGTGCCTGTAGTTTGTCTTCTATACYACTGCTACACACATTGATATATAAATGGGTGGAAAAAAAGGAAGTATCGATGCTAAACACACATATACACCCTCCAGGGCAATATTATACTGTGGTCTCATTCATGGAGTGGCTAAGAAAGCTCTCATTATACACACAGATACATGCACACACACACAGCTGTGTGTGTGCATATAGATASAAATATATATCTATATACACRCATATATATATCTATCTATACACACACACACCCCTATGTGTGTGTGCATATAAACACACACAAACATACACACACCAAACACTGATACATGGGTGTGCACACAGAGACACAATTGGTAAAGAAAATCCCCCTCTGAACTGTAATGCCACGATCATCATAGTCTTATTGCATCTGATGAGCCACACACTTGATACATCACATGCCAACTAAGCAAGTTTCTTACAAGCAACTTGTACTAGTGATTTCTGCATATTTTAATGTGGTTTTGCTTCAGTTTTTACATTTTTTTAAGTAATGCTGTATGGATGAAGTCTTCAGTATTTCTCACTTCCAAGAAACATGTTTTGATGTTCTAATAGTAGTTTTAAAGCTATTTTGTTTTTAAATTGTTAAAAAATTTATTACACACAACACATATAATACATTTGTCTAATCACCAAAAAATAGAAGCAGGAGAATGAATTTTACCCTCAATAAATTAGCAAGGAAGACACATTTTAAACAAATATCAAGAGCAGTTACTGCATTCCTTCTGTAATTTATTGCCTTCAGAAAAGGCTCAAATTACAGAATGTGTAGGGTATAATGCTGTAGGCTGTTCAAACTAGGTTTGCAGTGTCTGCAACACTGGAACTAAATATTTACATGACTCCAAAAGATCTAATCTCTGGATTTCACCCCCTCCCACCCCCTTTATTTAATTTGTATGCTATCTTTATCCACCACCCAGCACATTCCACACAGTCACTAAAGTTCACGGAAGAGATAAGCGGGGAGAAAAAAAAAAGTCAAGACTTTCAAAATAAAGGAGTAAAGCTATTTAAAAATAAGGAATAGATCATCCTCATTAGAGCTGAAGTCTTGCAACAATTTTAGCTGGATACAGATGGATTCTAACAGTGATAGCACCTGGGATCTCTAGAGACCCTGTAAAGAAGAAGTTCTAGGGGTGAGTTAACAAATTACCATCTTTCCAAACCCGTAAGAGTCTGATCTTCAAAGCCTCTCAAGCTTGCAAAGCTTCAAAGAAACCTGGAATTCACTAAGAGCTTCCATAACACAGTATAATATTTTTCCAACTTATTTTTATTCCTTATTTACRATTAATTTGCTGTGAGTGCTGAAAYACCTATAAACCACTAAGGGGAAAAAAAACTTTTACAAAAAGATTTGCTGCCAATCATTTGTTAAACCRAGGATAATGAGCACAAGATTTTTTTAGACCGAACTCCAAATTCTGATGCTTGACTGAAAAAAATGATAATTATGTTATAGACAGCAGATTGCCTGAACAGATTAAAGTCTATCATTGCACCCAAAATCAGAGTCCAGAGTCAGGAAGAGATCCTTGCAAGGCATTCCCCGAATTCAGAAGGTTGGCGTGTTGGCAGCCTCCACCTGCTCTGAAAAATACATCAGCATGTCACCTCTCCTTTGACCCTGCATCTCCTGCTTGCTGCTGGAAAGCAACTGCAGGCAGAGGCAAACCACCCTAAGCCACGCTGCTGACAGACAAATGTGGGTGTCAAAGCTGCTTGGAGGAGGCAGATGGTTATGGGCAAGTCTGTTCTGTTTGCATTACAAAACTCAAAAATAGAAAAGAAAGCAAATGAAAGGGTAACAGAGCCAGCTAAAGCATACAGACACACTCTGCAGGTATTTTCTCCCAGGCAGTGGTGCCAATACTGAAAACGTAACAGAAGTTAACAGCTGTTCCATATTTTCCCTTCAGCTGTGAAAAGCAGATTGAGACTCATATACTAAAATCAAGAGTCTCACCTTCATTCCTTTCTCTGTGTATGCTCTAAAAAAATGAAAARCACTTCAGAAATGTCAATTTCAACAAACAATTCCAAGGTAATATTAAATAGATWGATTTTAATTATTGTTTCTTTGAATTTCAAGGCAACATCTGAATCACAGGCCATATAAAGAAAAATTGTTTCATACTTTGTTACATTCTCACCTTTTGTAGTGAGGTAACACTCAATTTTGTAAGAGTTATAAGGACTGTTAACAAAAGACATATAAATTTGACTTCCTTACCTGATCTCTCAGTCTCTCCTGGTGTCCCATTATTGCTGTGGCATGGTGAGGATATTTCTGTTTCAGATGCTCAAGAAAAGCCTCTCTCTTCCTGTCCATTTCTGAGGTTTGCATTCCCAGTATTTCTTTGGAACTGCGAGGGCCACCTACTGTATGTCTTCGAGGGATGTTGCGGGTGGACTTTGAATTAGAGGAAGTGTGACTGCTCGGGCTCGAAAGGAGCTCTTTAGATCGGAGACATTCTGCATCGTCGAGTGATGTTACATGCAAACTGGGTTTTGCCTGGTCTGAAAAGAAAYAAAAAACAAACCCAAACATACTTTATGTTATAAAAACTTAATACCAACATTTACATTAGTAGCAAAGAGGAAAAAAAGATTGACATAAAAGCTAGACTCTTTAAAAGTCTGGCAGTGTGCAGTAGCATGTTCTGCATCATTAGGCATATACACATCATAGTAAGTGGCCCAGAAATAATCCCTTATATAAGGGATTATATGCACATACTTATATACTTCTAACACACAACTGCAGTATTGCCTCACAGAAAAGTGAGCATCAATAAAGCAGAGTTCCTTTTATATCAATTTTACCTATGTGACTTGAAAAGAAGATCTGACAGGGCCCTTATTCCCTGACCTTTAAGATGTACAGGATGCTTTCTACAAGAAGAAACAGATTTCTTCAATAGGGTCCAGTGCACTTAATGGCCCCATAACTAGTATCCTTAAGGATATGAACTGATAAAATTCCTTTGACAAAGCAGATTTCTAATCCTTAATCTTTTTTTTCAGCTGTTTTCAACATGTTCTGAAACATGGAGGAAATAATAAGAGGGCTTGGGAGTCTCTTTTTCCTGATTCCTGGCTGTGGTCTGGTYTTAAATTTCACGGATCTCCCTCAGATTTTATATGTCTCAGGACAGTGGTGGAAAATTCTACATCATTTTTTCATAAACCATTTCTTAAGAAATAGAATAAAAGCAAGTTTCATGTGACATAAAAAAGGGGGGGAAAAACCTCAGATAAATTTTACTACTTTAAAATCTCCTTTAAGACCAATGACTGCGACAACATTTGTAAAGAAATAGGCACACACTGTGGGTATGTAAGTGCTGACTTATCTTCAGGTAACTCTGTAACATGAACCCTCTGTGCTCAAAAAATTGTAGACTGGAGGGAGCCTTGCTACCTAATACCTTTGAAAAAAATCCCTCACTCCTTTGTCAGCAAACAAAAAAAACCCTGCAAAAACTTGAAGCATTGAAAAGGCCTCTCCAAGTCTSATGTGGCCTTCCTCATCTTTACCAGGCACTCAGATGCCCCTGTGAGTGTTAACCCTTCACAGCACCTCCCCAAGAGCAGAGAGCTCCTTCCTCTATGTTTTGAATAAATCTTCATTTCCATCTGTCTGACACTTTTTGCCTCAGAGCTCCTTATCCTCCCACTGACGTTTCCCCCGCGTGCTGCCATTACACGGTCCCGCTGTTTGGAAACAGGCACCTACTCGCTTCTTTTTATGGCTCACTCAGTCATTCTGACACCGTGCCTACCACTTGCCTCAGCATTTTATGCTGAGGATTCCTCAGCTTTCTGGTGTACATTGTCAACTGCCTGCCACGTGCCATGGAACATCCAGCCCGGGTAATAAGAGCAAATCCTCCATCGGTGGAGCTGCTGCTGGTGTGACATCCCACCAATTCACATAGGGAATCGATTTCTTTGGGTTCCATAACAGAACTTGGCCCTGGAAGGTCCACAAAGACTTTGCATGTTTCTGTAATCTCYCTATACTATTCAAGGGCTCCGAAATTTTCAACAACACCCTCTTGTTTGCATTAATGGAAACCTATCCTGAAACCAGATCCAGGCACAGCGGTGCAGTGACACCACGCTTTGAAGAACACAGATCTAGACGTAGCTTTGTGAGAAGGTTTGGTTCATAGGGAAGTCTTACTCTCATACAGATTTAAAATGACATCTGTGATCTTCACAGCATCTTCTAAGACCTTCTCAGCAGCATAATCCTAGTTAAACCTTCAGAGCAGCAGCCTCACCTTCATGTACAAACACCCATGCATTCAACTTTTTCAAGCACAACTCAATTAAGAAATATTCACCCTCTCTGCTTATTGAAAAGTCAAAGCGTGAGCCAACCAGTACACTGAGCTTGTTTGAGAAAAATGGCAAACAGGAGGGTTTTGCTTACAAGAAGCCTGCGTGGCTACTCCAGATACACTCAGCATAAATGGTTTCTGAAAGCTGCACAGTCATTCCAATGGATTGCACATGGGAGGGAAAAGAGGTGGGCTAGGGCTAGATGGAATTTACCATCTTTAATTTGCTGCACCCAGAGCCTGGAGGTCATATSCCTGAGGCTCTGGAACAAAAGCACAGACATAAAATAAGGGATTTTCTTGGAGCTGGAGGGAATCAGCGCAAGTGCAGGTGACTGAATGCAGCAGTTTGGTAAAAGCCCTCAAAGAATGGTCACAGCAGCAGMTTCACTGAAAGTGATGGCTGGCACTTCCTCAAGAAGGCGGGTAAACCTATGCTGACAAGCACAACCCAAAACTCTTGACTGTATATTTTGGGTATTAAATCTCTCTTACGCAAAGTCATTTGCCACTCTTCACTCCAATCATTTCAATAGTTTAAGAAAGAGCTAATTATTTTGCACATACAGAGACATATCAAGTGAAGTGTTTTACCACTGTTTGTTATTAGGCGAAACCTTGAAAAGGAATCAAAACTAACATATTTTTCTTATACTGTATTAGAAAGATCAACAAATTCTCTTATTTTTCTTTCATACATTTGGAAAATACTGCATAAACACCAGTGAAAAGAAAGGAATGTAAACTATGCAAACTAATTTCTCATCTTGCCACAGAGCTGACATGGGCATCCAGCAGGATCCTGATCCTGCACCATTACAGCACACAGCAGCATGTGACTTTCTTTGCAAAAACCAAATTTTTTTATGTTTCTCTCTGGGTCTTTTCCCTACTAACTGCTGAAAAAAATGTTTTGGGCCACTTCCTGGATGGGGGTAAGTGACTTCAGTGGTGAGGCTGAGCACTGGGGTGGTGAAACCCTCATGTGGATCTCAAGGCACATCAGCTCTACAGACGCAATGTGTGCCACAGTGCTGCAGGGAGGAAAAACTGAAAGAGGCATTCTAGACTCTGGAGTTGCTCAATAACATCGTGGGTAAACCTTCCATATCTCCCAAGGGAAGATAATAGGCCTAGCAAATCAATCTCCACAGATAACTGTGAAATGTGTGAAAAATCATGTGATGGTTCCCAGATGAGTGCTAAGAGTAGGAAAAGGATGAATTATGCAAGTAMCCTCCTTGGGAAAGGAGGAAAGAGAAGCCAATAGAAAACACAGAGGTGTGAGATAAGCTTGTCTCCCTCGCTCCCTCATATTCAGAAGCTAAAAGCTGAAGGTYTTTCTGTTCAATAAAGCAGCAAGTCTAGAGGGCCACTAAAGCAAGCCTTGCTCATTGACAGGGAGGAACTGGGTTATCCAAAAGCTTGAGTAACTCTCACACTTGATTTGTTTCTCTGATCTGAAAACAAGTTTCAAGATTTCTTAACATCACCAGCATCACCCATTACTRCAGTAAAGGCCCAGGTCTGGAGCGTAGAAGCACTATGTCTAGGATTAACAGTAACATTATAATGAAGGATTAATGACTGCAAACTAGGAGAAAAAAAAATAAAGAAAAATAAAAATCCTTTGACATGTCCTGGTATGTAGTTCTTCTAAGTCACACTCTCCAAAGTCTAAAGGTCAGGAAARTCACTTTGCTTCATTACTTTAAATGCTATGAAGAATTTAATAGCCCTGTTTTGGAACCCAGGTGACATGAGAGAACATTTTCAGAATAATTTCAGAAAGGAAAAAGTGTGGACCTGGCCCATATTAATACTATGAAACTGAGCCTTGAAGCAAACCTCATTCAATACTAAAATTTAAAGAAAGAATACAGATTTAACAGCATGAGTCAAAACAACTTCTGTTACATTCATATTAGAAGTAAATGTGATATTATTTGGAATTGYTCTAATTTACTTCACTGTCTTTACAATTAGCTCTTTTTCCAATGCAAATTTTGGCTATAGGCCAAAACTACTACACTTGGTTATGAGCTTTCAGCACTCAACAATTTTGGGAACTGTAKGATCAGTCTGGTCAGCCCTCTGTTTTCCTAGCTCCACATGTATCTGAGGCAGTTTCACACAACTCCTACAGAAGAAATGTATTACTGAAGGCTTTTTTTTTCCTAGCCAGACAAATTCTTAAAGTGAAGATTTACATCCCACTAAACATAAACATACACAGGTGACTTGCAATGCTCAGTAACTTTACTTAGTAAGTGATTCAAAAAAGCATCAATAAATGATCATCCAACTAAAAAAAAAAAAGGCACATTTTTTTTTCTTGTGTGATTTTTTTTAAAATCATTTGCACTTTTTGTTTCACAGAAGCACAGTAGCACAACTTTTCCTGAAGTGCCTTTGAATAATACAATATGCATGAAATGGGAAYGTTCACAGGTGCCACACAAATACTATAACAGATACAGATTAAGTGCTTGTCATTCTACCTGAATATTATGCTCCCCGTGGAATGMCCCACGTAGAATTCGCCAGGAAATAGTTCTGGTTCACTTTATAGGATATAGATAATGCGGCAGTGAATGTATGAATGCTCAGCAGCGGAGCCGCCGTGGAAACCCCGCTTAGACAGTCCTGGCTTCGCTCCAAAACAAACCCCAGTGGTTTCACTCAAAGCAACTTCACCCTGTCACAATCTGCCGTGGATCTCCCCCTTTTAGCAGACACCCCGAGGTAAAGATGAGCTCAATCCCATTTTTGCGAGGGAAGAGCTGTTTCTCTGCCAYAGCTGAGGCTGGCAGAGCATTTAAAGGGAAGGGGACATGCTTTCCCCACCTCAGCCTCCGCACCCGTGACAGCCACGCACAGCTCCCGGCTTCAGAGGGCACACACAAATATCTCCAAAGACAAAGTTAAACTCACAAAGTTCAAGTATCAGGGAAATGTGCACAGCAGAAAAGAAGAAAGAAAAAAAAAAAAAAAGCTATTTTTCTTTTCATGCATTCTGCCTCCGGTTATAAAAAGCAGCAACGGGGGACATGCTTAAACATAGCTCCATCTTTGCCTTACTTATATCGCCGCTTACTTACCCCTCGCCTGCCTGCTGTCTGTTGGGCAAGCCAGGCACAGCTCAAGTTTCTGGCTTTCCTTTTCCTCCAT